TGAAATTAAAAAATTTTGTTTTGCTTCTGATTCAATATTGATTTAGATTCAGAATTTCCTGTTTTGCATTTTTGACTGTCTAAAAAATTAATTTAAATTGAAAAAAGAAATTTTTAAAAAATCATTTTTGCTTCGGATTCAATAAATTAAAAAAAATTGCTTTTGAATCAATTTTGATTTAGATTCAGGAGAACCGGACCGATTTTCCATTTTTTGACTAAATAAAAAATGAGAAAAAAATTGCAATTTTGTTCTTCTTTCAAATCATCAAACAGCAAGTGTCACCTGAGCCCCGAATTTAACATATTCTTGCTTCCGGCCTTCTGATAAGGCCTGTCCGGATTGTTCTCGGAAACTTTTGAGCAGCGTTTGGCGTTGGGAGAAACTTCTTGTGGTTCTGACAACCTTAAGCAATTTTTTCCTTTCTGAGCAATTTTTTTGGCACCTTTTAGACTTAGAACACACATCAAGCACGATAAAGTCAAAGATTTCCAAAAAAAATTCGATCGATCTATGCAATTTCTTATATGTTTCGGCGGCCTATTGTCTAATATTAGAACGGGTAATCGGCTAAAACGACGGCAAAGATGACAAGATGGCTGTCTTTGTTGATTCATTTCCATGAACAGAAATGAATGGTTAGAAACCACCTTTATATGCGAGCAACTATTTAAAGCTAAGTTTGTTAATGCGAATAACGAAGAATATAAGGAATATAAGGAATTTAGGTAGCAGCTTTTGAAATTTAGGTAGCAGCCTTTTTGGATTTTTTGGCAATTTCTCAGTAATTTTTGGCTTTCCATTGAGCAACTTTCTGAAATTTGAAGAGCACAATCGAGACAGGCCTACTTCTAATTTCTGATAACCAAATTAGTGGCTGTTAAGGTTGCCTATGTCAACGGTTTGCTTTCAAAATCTGTATTTCCAAAAGCGAAAGTAACTTCGCTGATTGAGAATTTTACGTGGACAGAGAACTTTACACAATGACTCTGGCCGGGACTTAACTAAGCGTGAATCTTTTCATCTGAAGTACAACGACCTTCTCAACGAGCCCTACATCCTTCCAGTGGCTCTGGTACATCGTGGTGCATTCTCACGAAAATAACGCGAATTTGCGAAGAGACGAAAATCAGTTAACGTTCTTGATTTGCTTACAGTAATGCAATGACGACAATCAAATAGAGAATAATATATGGGTGCACGTAGATATGGAATTTCTCTTCGAACATTTAACTCGATAGCTCACGAGTAAACGCAGCGAACGAGTGAAATGTCGAGTTGAACGCGAAAAGAGAAATTTCATATCTACAAGCAACCATATATTATTTTGTTTATCATATAAACACAATAGCCCTTTGCTGACAAGAAAAGTGTACTTCACTATGATTGAAAATAAAAGGTTAGGCAATCCCCGAATAAAAATCGTTAAGTGTGTTGGCGCAGTCAAGATGAAAACATGCATTGAATCACTACAAAAAACCAAACAATGGGCCTAATTTTCAAAATAAAAATTCTCAGATATGAATTGGTCCTTACCGACAGAAGAAATCTTTCAGGTATACGGCCAAAATCGGCCTGTGGCATATCTTCTGGTTGTCGATTTTCGTTCTCAGCCGCGAGAAATCCCATCACCAAAGCCACTCAATACGTTACTTTCGGTTTTTCTTTTTCGTATTTTGGTTTTCTTCCCCTTCTAGAAAAGTTTGAACGTCACTGTCTGTAAGCGACACGAATTTTTCATTCTTATAGCGGCCATAATCGAAAATAAAAACGACCTCGGATTGAGAGTGGTGAAGGCGTTGCCGTTCATTCATCAACCTGACCGAGAGGCGCGAAAGGCGAATGACGTGTCAACAGCTTATTGGCGATATCAAACACTCGTGAAAAAAAAAGCGTATTTTTTCACGTCTGTTATTACAGCTTTTCTCAGGGCTGGAAATCCTTGTCTAACACCTTAGTTTACATGATAAATAATTTTAAACAATAGAGGGAATTAGTATAACCCGTTCGGTAGACGCTAATGAGTTTACCACTAAAGGCTAATGATAAGAAAAATTAAGAGCCGTTGTGAGCATTTATTCAAATACATATTCACCGATGAGTTTCCCTCGTGAAAATTCCCAATCAATCGATGCTACAAACAGTTATGATTTTCGTCGGGTTGTGGTGACTTTAAAGTCACAAAAATCAGCAAAAAGGCAAATACATTCAGAAGCACTACACGTATGTGTGCACCTTCATGACCTTTTGGTTACACATAATGTTTTTGGCTCCCTCTTGGCTAACTGCCGTAGCCACATGTCATCAACAGTACATTTGAACGTGAATCACTCGTGCGGGGTCACGAGAACATTACACCCACGACATATTCTCGCTGATTTTGTGACTTTACAGTCACCACCACCCGACAAATATCATTACCCTTTGCAACATCGGTTGATTGAGATTCTCTGAGAAAATTCGGCGGCGAAAATTTCTTGCAATAGATGTTCACGACTGTTCGTAATTGTTCTTCTCATTTGTTATTAGTGACAAACTCACTGGCACTTAACGAATGAGTTATACGAATTTAGTCTATTTCCATCACAAATATACATATATATACATAGTCTTTATTTCTGTGTCTAGTCGTTCTAGCGCCAAGGTACTAATTGGGGACACTCGATTAAACCTATATTAAACCTTAAAAGGATCTTAAGACTCATAAACATTTGTCTAAACAAGACTGGAGCTTTATATCTCTATTGTAAGTTTCTTACCAAACTCTAATCTCCCGTCAAGTGAGTTTATGCAAAATCAGTTGTATGAGATTCTGCACTGCTTTAACTCAAAGTTGGTCAAGTTAAATACTCTGCAAAACTTTTCACTTGTTTTTCTTCTTCTTTAATTTAGGGTTTCAGAAGCAGCGACGTTGTCAACGCCGGCTTATTTTTCATCTGTCGTTAACGTTTCACGATGATCTGAGCGAAGACTGCTTTAATTTAAATGAAGAAGTTCCGATATTCAATTCAGGTATGTCAAAGTAGGCACGATTCAGGAGAAATTCGTGTTGAGAAAACATGAAATCAAGTTAAACGTCATTTTTTTTTCTTATGCAATAGTTTTTTTTCCTTTATTTTTTTGTGCAGTGCAGCCAGTGCAGTTTGAATGAGATAAACACAAATAATTCAGTTTTTAAAGACCGAGGAGATCTGTGCAAAATAATTTACAAAAGCTTGTGTATATGATCCCAAAGTAGACAAGTATTGACAAGAGGGGATAACTCCTCTAACTCTTGTCTTTCCTCATCCTTTATTTTCCGGCGGACGGCCTGGGAGACAGATTTGCATGATCATGATTCTGCAAATAAAGTGCAAATTAGGCAGGCGCGCGGTCTTAAATAGACTACGCGCTCGGCGGTCAGAAATGTTCGCAGAATTTACACTGAGTATTGCTCTCAATCTTCCTAACTTAGTATTAGAACTTTGTTTGGAAATGTGAAGCTAATCCAATAATTACTTTGGTGTTTAGTGGAAGAATTTTGCGGGTTTGTGCCTACACTGAGATCAAATATTTTTTGCTCTGTATTGCCTTTATTTCTTCTGCATTGTGTTTCATGCAAGCTGCATTTATTTCAGCAAATCACAATTTAGAGGTTTAAAGTTTTAAAAGAAATGTAGAAGTTTAAATGTTTTAAAGGAAATGTAGAAGTTTGAATTTATAAAGAATAGCAAACATTTATGTGGTGCATGTCGCGCGTTAATTGACTTTGAAAATTTCTCTAAGATTTGTTTTAAAAATGTTATAGAAAAAAGCGTTTAGTCGATACCACGAACAAACAATTGCAAGGTCCCTGCCTCTTTCTGAGGCGATCAACAATTTCCAACAAATTTAAATGTTGTGGCTTTCACTGTTAACAAGCCGTCTTCCGCATCCACTCTAGCCAACACAAGCACTTACCTTTATGTTAAAACTCCTGGTGCCATGTCAAAAATATATTATTTGATCCTTTCTGGAATGTTTTCTATATTTTATCCAAATATAAAAATAACACTGTCTAATAAAGAATCTCTTAGATATTAAGACCGACGAGGAAAAGCTCTAATTAATCATTACCTTGCACAGTGAGAGTGTTTATTTGTCAGCCAGTGCAGACAAAAATTTTTCTTGCCTCGCTAGAAATGATTAGTAAAACTGTGTGAAAGCCTTTACCTGTTTGAGTAAGAAACTTCAAAATGAGTCAGTTCTCTGCCATATCTTATTCAAAACCATGCCAACAACTACAAAAAGGGATATTATTAATACTGGCTTGTAATACTCTCCAAAGGTATCTTACCTCGACATAGAAATACTCAGATTTGAATTCGCTTCAGCCTCTGGATCGAAAATGAGGAAATAGAATACGAGAATAATTCACCATTGTTCAGGTCAACCTCCTTATCAGTCGTTACATTCTAGAATTAAATCACCGTTTTAGTAACTTCTCCCAAAAAATGAGAATAATGCGTGGCTCGTGTTTGTGTTTAAATATCCTCTTCAAGCACGTACTAAAGACACACGCAGAGAATTAAAAGAAAGAGAATCATTTGTGTTCCTCTAAAAAGCCCAATAGAAATTTTATGCACTATTAGTACGCATGACCTTGGAAACGCTAGTATAAATAAAGTGTTTTTGTTTAAACTTTCTGGGAAACTGAACTACTTCTTTAAAACTCGTCCTTCCCGAGCAAAAATATAAATAATGCCGATACTTTCCCTTTTCAGACTTTTCTCTTTTGTTAAGCAATACTGATATTTAACCTGAGTTTTCTTTCAGCTACAACAAGGAAAGTTTCGCTTAGGACTCCTAGAGAATTTATATTTTTTCATGTTGTGCGATCGTATCGAGCCGCCATGTTTGTTTGCATGTTGACACTTTTAGAGCTCGTGCTATATTTGCAGCCAGATCTTGCGCGGTTAAAAAATAAACTTTGGAGTCTAGTTGTGAATGGATAGTACAGGCCTGGCACAAAATTTTCCGTCATGAATACCTCGTGTTATTCGTGTAGGGAAAGTATCAAGCGACTGAAATTACATAAAAAGCACATTATTGAAAAACACTACGACCGTACAGGTGTTGATGACATCTCTGTATTCTATCCCGACATTCCTCTACCGATGGTGTTTGATAAATTCAAGGAAAACCTTCGGGCAGGCATCCTGAAAGGAAAATTTGATCGTCGATTGAGAAGATTAATATATTTCTTTCGCCTCGATTTCGTCGTGGGTACGTTTCCAATTTCAAGACTTAGAGTTTGATGGGTCATTATAACCATTCTATACCGGTTGACGCCAAAATCATGATATCAACAAACTGCCCAATCATCGGAGAACAAGTTGCTGTTAATTTCGTGGCACATAGTTTACCATAACAACAAATTCTGCGGAGGAGGCTCAGAGCCACCTTAAATTTTCGAAAATTTAAGATGGCTCTGAACCCCCTCCGCATAATTTTTTAAACTTTGCAAAAAGTTGCAACTAATATCATGTTAATTACAATTTGATAATAAAAAATGGGGGTCACCAAGCTTTTTTCTGAGTTATAAGCACTTAAAGCTAAAATTAAGGGTGTTTTTAGCAGGCCATATTGTTGCTATGGTAACCTATTGTGCCACGAAATAAACAGCAACTTGTTCCCCGATGATTGGGCAGTTTGTTACCATGATTTTGGCGTCAACCGGTATAGAATGGTTATAATGACCCATCAAACTCGTAAGTCTTGAAAAGTACTGGAAACTGTTACCGTCCACCTTTAAAGATAAGACAGTTGACAGAGTAATGAAATTCAAGTTGTTAGGAACTTGGCTTAGTGAGAACGTTGCATGGACAGAACATGTAAACGAGGTCACATCATCATGGTATAGAGTGCTAGCTACTCTCAGGAAGATCAAGAATATGACATCACAACAGACTAAGAAGTCTCTTGTTCAAAGCCTCGTGCTATCCAGACCTAACTTTAATGACTCCGTCACTTATCCCCTTACCGCATTTCTGCAGAAAAGAGTACAACGCATTCAGAATGCTGCTGCTGGCTTTGTCTTGAATCGTTTCTGCTCAGAAAGAGACGTTCTAGAGCTTGGCTGGCTACCTACACTGGAAAATACGCAATTAAACTTTCTTAAGCTTAGACATCGAGCTCTTGTTAGTGCGGCTTGGCCCGAATACCTTCAACCACCTAGGCACAATCTCCAACATACACTACGCTCTAGTAATGCGCCTTTGATAAAAAATTCTCTAATTAAGGGTACTTTACAGGACTCACTAGCGACTTTATTCAATGCCCTACCCGCAAATGTAAGGCAGTATCCAGACTTCAATACTTTCGCAAATAATTGTTGTACAATTCTTAAGAGCAGCGAAAACATGCGTTTAAACTCATAAGTTGTCTCGATAAGGTTTCTTATGGTATCTATAGTATCTTACATCATTTATTTTTTAACAGTTTTTAATTTCTTTATGTAAATAGTGAATGTTTCTTGAATAACACTGTGTGCATTATGCATTTTGTAAGTCGTAGGTTTTCAGTTAGTATGACGGATTTAGAGCTACCATGTAGAAAAACTGTCAACAAATCGGTATAATTATTATAATCATTATTATTTATCATTGAGAATGAAGCTTATGGAGCTTAAATGCAAAGTTCTGGTTCTGGTTAAATGAAGAACGATCTATTATAGCCATGAAGTGGAAAAGCCAGTCAAAATGATATAGTTTAATCAATGTAAATGCGTTAGATACTAGCCGAGTCAAATTGAGACTGAATTAAGACACAAACAAAACTGTACCTTGCGAATGCAGCTGAGATTTTTACATTAAGTTGTAACGACATGATGAAGCAAATGTAGGAATCATCCACTACATAACAGTTTAGCAGAATGCTACGAATATCATTTAAATCTGAGCAGTTTTTGAATGCGTTCTGCTCACACTGTTTGACAGATGCAGTTTGGTGTGATCATTAACTTTACTGACAACTTCTCTAAAACTATATTTCTGTCTCTTCTATGTTCCCAATGAAGCTTTCCTAGCAATGTTGGAAAGTAGATATTCTGGAAATAAAGAACCAAATCATGATCTACAAGTCCACCGGTCTTTTTACGCAAGCTGATCCCATGAAGGAGGGGGCTGGGGAGAAAAGTACTTTTGAAAATGGATGATTAAGAATAATCATACCAAAACTTTCGGGAACAAACACTATGATAAATTTCTAACTGAGTCAGAGTATCATAGTATAACTAATATATTTAATCTCGACGTATTCCAAAGACATTTTGCAAAACTCGTCCAGTCAAAAATACTTCTCAGGAACGGATTTGTAACAGAGAATATGATAATTTCGTTTCTTCAAATGAAGTGTGTAGACCAATTCCAGTAACATTTTCAAAATTCGGTTGGGCAAAGATTCGTACGGAAAAACCTCCCATTCAAGACACTATCATTAACTTTACTGATCGATTCTCAAAAATATATTTCCATCTCTCCTATGTTCCTAATTAAGCTTTCCTAGAAATGTTGGAGAGTAGACATTTTGGAAATAAAGAACAAAATAATGTTCTGCAGGTCTATTTCTAACTGAATCAGAGCACCGTGGTATAACTGATATATTTAATCTGGACGCATTCCGAAGACATTTTACAAAACTCGTTCAGTCGAGAATATTTCTTAGGGAACTGACTTGTAACAGAGAATACTACAATGTCATTTCTTCAAATTAAGCATGTAGACCAACTCCAGTAACATTTTCAAAATTCGGTGGGGCAAAGATTCGTACGGAAAAACCTCCCATTCAAGACAGTATAATAAAGTTATGTGTAAAAAAATGACATTTCTAAGCGAGTAAGGAAGCTTATTTTAACTCTCTCCCAATTGCTTTACTTCTGAAAGCCACTGCAATGAGTATCCTTCTTTGAAGGATACCCAAGAGAAGAACAAAGGTGATGAGGCTTCCTTTAAAGTCTAAAGAATTAGATTTCAAAGCCTTAGCTAAAAAGTTTTACTGAAAGCGAAATCCGTTAATTTTCGCAGTGACGACTGATCGAGTGGAAACGATTGCTGATGGTTGGTAGTCCCACATAAAGTTTCAAATCTTTCCAAACACCGTGGGGCTATTTCTGCGTATTACTATCCTCGATCTCCCAGGGCTGAAAATTGAAGCAAATTCCATGAAAATTCTGGATTAACTCTGTCAGAAGCAACGTGTATGACAGTAAAAAGGCTTAAACTCAAAGATTTATCTCGGTTCCCTGTAATAAATAAAAGCCATTGTTCGTTATTGTTTTGAGAATTATCTCCTACATTTCATTATTTTTAAGATTGTGTATAATATAAAACTTTAATCATGTCTATTCTTGTACGAGTGATTTAGTGGCTTTTAAAAGACCTCTTGTAGTGTTGTCTTTGTTGGAAATAGTTGAATGCTATATTTTTGATGTAGTTTGATTTTTTGAATGTGGTTTTTCGCAGCAACCAGCACGAGACTTGAGCGGGAAGATGTTACACAGAGGAATTAAAAATTATGGTAAGGTTTTGCTTTGCTAGTGTATTTGGGGGCCTTTAGATTGGCAAAAATTAAAAGAGTCTTGTTTCATTTTCAAGAATCATGTAATGCTTGCCGTTTTAATTTTCCTTTCATGTCCAAAAAATATATCTGATCGAATTTGCAAAAACATGCACGATATGTGGCAAGATTGACAGTCAGGTTTATGGCTTGATAGAGCTCAGTTGGTGGGTGAATACCCCGTAGTTGGAGGGTGGTTGAAAGTCTAAAGTAGTATGTTTAGGAGGGGCTGCAAAACCTCAATGGCTAGGGTTAGGAGCATCACCCACCTTCAAGCCAGACTAGTCGATGAAAATGCAGGGGGCTTAACGTCAAAGGTAGTGCCCTACATGCAACCCAGCCACTAACCTATCCAAGGATGGGTTGCAAATGGCTCTTTGTGGAAGGCTCTGGGGGTGGGAGGGGTAGGTTATTGGAACCTATATCTGACTGCCATTTTTTTCTGAGCCTGGAAGGGGCCTGTCTTTTTCATCTTGTTTGACAGCCTACAGGCTTGGTAGTCAGGCTTGCACCCTGTCACCTCAGCCACTACGCTAACACTCCATGGCTGGAGGGTGGCTGAGTGTCAAAATCATGCCTTTTTGGGCGAGAGGACTCTATTGAAATTGCAAAAACCTTGATTGCTTTGTTTGAAGGCGTGTATCGCCATAGTGGCCCTGCTTACGCGTCAAATGGAAGTTGTGTCATTGATGCATTACCCATTTGGCTACAATGATTTAAACAGAAAATTCTTGAAAGATTGGACAAATTACACTGGCTGACGTGCCGTTGATATCGATGGTCATTCGACGTTTGCCAGTAAAAGTGAATACTTCTATTACAGTGAACAGAATAATTGCTCTTTGTCAGTTGGTTGCAGCAAATTGATAAAAACAGCCCATTAAGATTGGTCTGATGAAGGTAGAAATTCTATCAACAAAGTGTAAGGATGGAGTATGCGTTCGAGCAAAAAAAAATTGTAAGGAATATAAAAGGCGTTTCAAGGGTTAGAGTGGGGTTTACAATAACTCCTCAGCTATCGTCGAGACTCACTGAAATCAGGGGGTACTCAAGACAGTTAGACGGCAGCTATCAAACTTTGAGAATTGTCTACCTCTCTCCTTTTTTCGAGTAAATTTACACTTTCAAATGGTTTGCCCCTGAGAAAAATAATATGATATTGGAATCCCAGGGAGTTCGTTTTTATGTATAGTTACGAAGTTTTGTTCTTTTGCTGACCAATACTAGGAATGGTAGTGAGTGATTCAAGGGAATATGAACTCAACTGGGTTTCTTGGTTTTGTTAATTCTCTGATAGCGTGGATCTGAGCTCCTGTAACATCCATGTAGCAACCTTTCAACTGTTGAAAAATCTAAGACATCTCCATTCTATTGATCTTGATTTTGTTTATGTCTGTAGTATTTCATACACTGTAATAGGGCGAAGCCAAAACTTTTACGCAGCCGTTCTTTGAGCTGAGATGTCACGCAGTGCCGCTCATTTTCATGCGCTGCGTGACATTCCAATTAACTATTGCACAGGAGTCAACGGACACGACACACCTGAGAACCAACGATCAACACTGTCGCTATTTGTAGCACCGCCACCACTACTGTTGTTCACTTCGCTTACAGACTTAGAACAACAGACAGCTGCAAAGTGACCCACCTTTTGGCATTTCAAACACTTCTTATCTTTTGCGAAACACTGTTCTGGCTTTGTGTGAGGGAGACCGCATCTGCCACACTTCTTTTGACTTTGTTTTTGGGATGAATCCTTTTTTCTTCCCTTTACCTTTTCGCCAACGAGAACTCACTGGCGTCTTTTTGCTTTGGATTTCGTCCACATTCTTCGACGCAAGAGAATTCTGATCTGTAACCTGAGACTTGACCATTTCTTGACGAGCTATTTGGATGGCGGTTTCCAGCGTTAAATCCGACTTCAACTGCAACTTCTGAGACACATTTTTAGTCCAGGATTCCGATGACAATCCTATCCCGTATTTGCTGATTCCGACCGGTCCCAAAATCACAGTGTTCAGCTAATTCATAAAGGTTTCGTACGAAAGACTCGACCGTCTCTCCTTTGTTCTGATTCCTTTCGTGAAAACGTGCTCGCTCGTGAATTATGTTCCGTTTTGGAACAAAATGCTCATCAAACTTCGCCAAAATCACGCCGATTTTGGCATCATCTCCCTCCGCTAAGGTATAGATCTTGAAAACGATGATGACAGCGAAGACTGCGTTAAATGATGAAGTTTCGATATTCAATTCGGGTATGTAAAAGTGTATTCAAGTGCATACGCGACAAATACGTACAAAAATTACTTTTACACATTCAGAATAAATCAAAGTACATTTACCTACGGTGAAAGGAAAACGGAACGGCCTAACTTTTACGGAATGTTCAGTCAAAGTTTGCCGATTTCTGCTGCTTTGCCATATTGAAGATGAAGCTTCCACAATGCAATGCAATCGCACACCGCCTGTACGCTAACATAAATGTTAATTTTTTTAAATTAAAATAAAAAAAAACTCAAGAAGACTCCCCATAATTTGAACGCCCCTTGCAGATCCTATTCCTCCAAAAATTATATCAATTCTCGAACGAACGATTGCCGTTAGGCTCTTACCGATAGTGCTCCTAAAAAAAGCTTTAAATGCTTAAAGTAGTGCTTATTTTTTGCCAAAAAAAGTGCTAAAATAATACTAATTTTTTTAAAAAGTACTCGTGGTTACATAAAAATGCTCACTTTTTTCCCGATTTTTTTAAACGTAGAATATTCTTATAGTCTTATTTTTTTACCACTGATTGATGACAGAGTACGCTCTCGAGCTATCTTTGCCTTAGCTGGCTGACTTCCATTGTTCCTCGATGACAACGTGGTTGACGCCATCCTGGAACGAGTGTGATGAACTGGGTTTCTAGAAGGCAACCGCTGACCTATCAAACCTATTCCCCAGGCCTCCTCAGCTCCTCTGACTAAAATGAGGGCAAAATGCGGCTTTAGACGACATTAATAAAGTCAGATTGTGCTTTTTAATACAAAATTATACAAATAATCAGTCGAAAATCCAAAATAATGCTAACAGTGCTTTTTGGGATAAAATGTGAAAAAAAAAGCTCGCGAAGCCAAATAATGCCAGAAAAAGTGCTAGCACTATCGGTAAGAGCCTAATGGCCGCGCGCTGTAGGGAAACTGGACACGAGGGCATCAACGAAATTCGCAAAAAATTTTCGTAAACACATAGGCACTTTTTTGGGAAGCCATATTTCGTTATTCAACGCCCTGTAGTTTTGGGAAGAACGCTACCTTAAGGAAGCCATATTTTGTTATTCAACAACCTGAGGCAATGGAAACAATTCTACTTTTTTTTGTTTTGGCCATGGCTTTCCGTCACTGTAGGTTATGTAGGGACAGTCCCGTTCGACTGAGATGGAGAACTAAACGCCACATCATCGATAAACATTTCGGCCGTGAAAATGTTGACACGTGTTCCACCTTTTATCGACATATTTCTGTACGGATGGTGTTTGAAAGATTTAAAGCCCAGTTTAGGGAAGGCTCTCTGGAGAAAGAACATCCTCGCTCATCGAGAAATCTAATCTATTATTGCCCCTTTAATTTTGTCGTGGGTTCCTCTCCATCGCCAGATGGACGTAGACGACTGAGAAGTCGTCATGTGAGGGTGCCATGCGTCCGCTCAACATGTCGTAACTGTTCTCATCCTGTGATAGTGATAAAAACAATTTTTCCCGATGGACAGGCCAGACCAATTTATTAAAGAACCAAACTTATGAAGCGAAAATCCAAGGTTCCGAAATGAAGAACATGCTATTGTTCCATATAGTTGTCACGAAGTAGAAAGTCCAGCCAAAAAAAAACTAGTTACTAGCACGAGTCAGCTATTTTCCCTTAGAAGTCGAATACATGTAATTTTTGATTACAAGAGATAAATTAAATCGACTATACATGCATTGGTCTTCTTCATCTGAATTTGATGTTCCTTTAAGGTGTTACTCAGCAATGCGGGAGAAGCTCTCCATGAAGCAAATGTAGGAATAATCCACTACATAATAGTTCAGCAAAATGCTACGAAGACCATTTAAAACTGAACAGTTTTTGAATGCGTTCTGCTCACACTCTTTGACAGATGCAATATGGTTTGATCATTAACTCTACTGATAGCTTCTCAAAAAACATATTTCCTCCTCTCCTTTGTTCCAAATTAAGCTTTCCTAGTAGAAATTCTGGAAATAAAGAAGCAAATCATGTTCTGCAAGTCCACCAGTCTTTTTATGCAAGCTTATCCTCTGAGTATAAGCATACTAAAACTTTCGGGAATGAAAAATAGGATAAGTTTCTAACTGAATCAGAGTACCGTAGTAGAACTGATATATTTAATCTCGACGTATTCCGCAGACATTTTGCAAAACTCGTTCAGTCGAAAATATTTCTCAGTGGACTGACTTGTAACAGAGAATATGATAATGTCATTTCTTAAAATGAAGTAGTAAGACCAATTCTAGTAACATTTTCGAAATTCGGTTGGCAAAGATTCGTACGGAAAAACTTGACAAAAAATGACATTTTTAGGCGGGTTGGGAGGCCTGTTTCAACGCTCTCCTAGTTGTTTCACTTCTGAAAGCCACTGCAACAAGTATCCTCGATGGATACCCAAGTGAAGAAGTAGGGTGATGAGGCTTCCTTTGAAGTCTAAAAGTTAGGTTTCAAAGCCTTGTTTTGTCTCGCTCAGCCTTAGCTAAAAAGTTTTTACTGAAAGCGAGAGAAGGAGATTGCTGATGGGTGGTATTCCCACATAAAGTTTCAAATCTTTCAAAACACTGTGGGGCTATTTCTGAATCCAGGTAGTGTATTTGAAACACTGAAGATTGAAGTAAATTCTATGAGAATCCTGTAATGGGTCCATTAGAAGCGACGTGACAGACTAAAATTCTAAAACTCAAAGATTTATCTCAGGTGACTGTAATAAATAAAAGCCATAGTTATTGATTTGAGAATTATCCTCTACGTTTCACTATTTTTAAAACTATGTAAAAATAGAATCATTATCATGTCTATACTTGAGTGAGTGGTTTAATGGCTTGTAAGAGACCACTCAGATTGTTGTTTTTGTGGGAAGTGGTTGAATACCATATTTTTGATGTAGTTTGATTGTTTATATGTGATTTTTTTAATAGCCGTGCCTTGCACAGGACTTGAGCGGGAAGATGTTGCATAGGGGAATTAAATGGTATGGTAAGATTTTGTTTTACCAGTGTATGGGGCCATAGATTAGCAAATAGTGAGGAAGTCTTTTTTCATTTTCAGAATCAGCTAATGCTTGGCGTTTTAATTTTTCTTTTATGTCCGAAAGGTATATCTGATTGGATTGCCAAAAACATGCCCGATATGTTGCAAGATTGACAGTCAGGTTCATGTGTTGATAGAGCTCAGTTAGTGGGTGAACACCCTGTGGTTGGAGGGTGGTTGAAAGTCCAAGCAATAGGCTGAGGAGGGGCTGCAAAATCTTGATGGCTAGAGTTAGGAGTATACCCCGCCATTAGCCAGACTTGCCGATAATAATGCTGAGGGCTTAATTAACGTCAAGGGTAGTACCCCGCATGCTGCCCAGCCACTAACCTATCCAAGGATGGGTTGCAAATGGCTTTGTAAGGAAAATATAGGGGTGAGGAGGGCATGTTATTGGATCCCTTGTCTTACTGGCAGTTTTCTAGGAGGCTGGAAGAGGCTTGTCGTATTCATCTTATTTGACTGCCTGCATTACAGGATGGGTGGTAATACATGTACCCTTTTCACACCACAACCACTGGGCTAACACTTCATGGCTGGATGGTGGTTGAGTGTTAAAAGCATACCTTTGGGGGAGAGGGCTCTACAGACATTGTAAAAACCTGATGTCTAGGTTTTTTCTTGAGGGTGGTTATCGCCATAGTGGCCCTACTTACGATTTCAATGGAAAGTCTTTCATAAATGCATCACAAAAGGGGGATAATTCTGTTACTGTAAGCAGAATAATTGCTATTGGTCAGCTGGTTGCAGCAAATTGATAAAAATAGCCTTTTAAGATTGGTCTGATGAAGGTAGAAATTCTCTCAACAAAGCATAAGGATGGAGTATGCAGTCAAGTAAGGAGAAATTGGAAGAAATGTCACAGGCGTTTGAACACAACGAAATCTTCTAAAACACAACAATATTTTCCGGAACACAACGAAATCTTCTGAAACACGATAATCTTTTCCAGAACAACAAAATTTTCTGATACACAAAAGCAAGCTAAAACACACTAAAGTACTGGTGACTAAACCTGTCGCTGGAAGCGACCGGAACCTGGGACTAGCTCGGGCCACATACTGCTAATTAAGGCGCCATTTTTGTAACTATGCAATGTTCATTTCCACAAGATGCAGAAGCGCACAAGTATGGTTCATCTCCGGCGAACCAAAGGATTGAAGGCCAGAGGGCATTTTACAGAAGAAAAAGGTCTGTGTGGTGGATTTACTTCTTTAAAAGTCTCATGGAACAGGAAATCTTTAACCCAGGAGATGAGATTCAAATGGCATGCCTTTGGTTCTGTTTCGCTCAGTTACTACAAGACGACCTGGATAAAATTAAACTACACTGGTACACACATTTAATAAGGGGCTCTAGCCATGACATTATCAGTGGGAGACCGAATGAACTGTTCTTTCTCCCAGAGCTGTATGGAGGAGTAGATGGTCTACTTCACCCAATCTTGGATGATGAGTTCTAATCCTTGAGGGAGAACCTGACTTATGGAGAGGAGAAAAGTATCTACCAAGAGTACTTTGAATATGTTATTGAAAACACTGAGTTGCAGCTGCCCCACAATTGAAGAGGGACTCTTTCTGTATAAAAGAACTCCTTGAAATTGCTAACGCATGATGTTTGACGAACACGGACGAGCTGTGCGATATCGGTGGAGGTAGGTTCGTACATTAAGTGTTCCCTTTGATATAAGCCCATCACACTAATGATCATATAGCCATGACTGATTTATGCTTTTTATTTTCCATTTCACTACTGGGCAACTAAAACTAAATAAAAAGGCTCGTATCAAACTCAACTTTAAAATCTTTTCCTATAATTATCCATCGCAAGTGGTTACAAGTACATCTCACAAAGCAGTTATCTTTTGACAGCAAGTGTTATTTTCCTCGAAGTGCTCATAGAAACAAGAATGTGATCAGTAGATTTCAACTGGACAATATCTAGATTCAAGTAAATGAACAACTTGGAAATTTGCTTTCTTTCTCATCATACTAAAGCAATGATATCTACTAATGACATTGGAACCAAAACGATACCAACACATACAGGGGTTTACTACTTAAATTACTGCATTACTTATGGCAAAAAATCTGCTATCTCTTCCCCTACACTAGCAGTCAATTTTTATAGTCCTCCCTTTCTTTAGCAAACAGAGAAGCCATGACTGTGCTCTATTTCTGTTGTAAAGCATGTTGGAAGCTACTAGAGCATGAAGGAAGTGGTAGAGTTCTCAAGCCACTTCTTAAGTGCTTTACAACAGAACAGAGCACTGTCAAGGCTTCTCTATTTGTTTTATAATAAAGAATCTGTTAAATAATGCAATAATCTCAATTTTCAAAAGAAACTTAAGGCAATAAATTATGACTGGTCTTAATGGGGGTGTAGTTTTTTTACATTTTTGATACTAAATTTGTCTTCCCTCTAATTTTGCCCACTCCTGTCTGTTTTACATGCCTTTCTTGAGTCAGTTTTTGTTTTGTTTCAGAGGAGATCACATTAAGCCATCCTAGGTATAATGCAGTTGGTCAAACTGCTTTCCTAGTCTTAATACAATAAAGATATCGTGGTACTTTATATATACACACTTTATATGCACTCATATAGCAAAGTGAAGTGATACCAATGCACTGGTTACTAAGTTGAAAATTTCCTTATCTTGCAGGACACCTTCAGTAAGGATTCAAACATGTGGTCCTACAGGTCTTCAGTCTCTCCCAAAAATGGAGTCACAGGATTGGATCACTTGGAGACCGTGTTACCAACCTACTGGAGCAAGTCCTTTGCAGTTTCCCTTATTCCAGAATCGAATTTGGTGGAGGAGGATCAGGACATGAAAATGCATGAGGAAAAAGAGCTCTGGGGTGAGTGGACAATGGAGACAAAAAGATCAAGGCTTTGAACTGCTAACCCTAACCCTAAGCTGCATGCAACATGGAGTAATGATCATGCTCTAATTTTAGTAATGGAATTTTAACCCTTCAACTCCCAAGATCCAATTATCAATTCTCCCCTCTAGCTGCTACACATTTTTTTGTAAGCTAGTTATAAGGATTTGATGGTAGATCAAGATAACAATTTCTACCTAATAAATTTGGGTATTCTCATTACCTGTTTACTGGATAATGACTAGATATTATAGGGAGAAGTTACTTGTTAATCACTTGTGGGAGTTATAGGGTTAAATATGGGTTTTTGCTTTTGCCGTTAAATGAAGGGAAAGTAAAAGTGGGTCAGTGAATTAAGACAGGTTTCTCTTTGCAGTGTAGTTACACAAAGGAAAATCTGCCATTCTTGGGAGGTTTATCACTTTTACTCTCACAAGTGGCCACTAAGTTACTTCTCCTTTAACCCTTTAACTCTGAGAAGTGATTAACATGTAACTTCTCCCTATAATATCCATAAATTGTCCCACAATCGGGTAATGAGAATACTCAAACTTATCTGATAGAAGTTGTTATCTTGATCTAGCATCAAATCCTCATAACTAACTAACAAAGAAATGTGTGGCAGCTAGATTGGAGAATTAACAATTAGATCTTGGGAGTTAACGGGTTAACATTTTATCCACAGACTGTCTGGTAGTTGACAAGTTTGAATTACATCAAGTTTTTAAGTGAGGGCCAGACACAAATACTCAAATTACAGGAAATAATTGGCAGACCATGACAATAAGTCACCAGTTATAATTTTATTGCTAAGAGAGGCGGGAACTGAGATGATTCTTTTGGGGATCACATGGTTTTCGGGTGAACGGTGAGGGGATCTGTCATTCACAAACAGACTATAGAGGCACTGTAAAAATTGTGTTTTTTCTTTTGTATTTTTCCCATTCACCCCATTCCTTTCTTTAGAACCTCACCACACAAGCCACATTAACCTGATAGGGGTTAATCATTCAAACTCAAGTGGTAGAGTGTAGGGAAAATGCTTGTAGCCTGATATTCCATTTGAATAAGCTTAATTGTCCTGCAGCTGTAACCTGATATGTCATTTGTATAAGCTTTGTTGTCATGCAGCTGTAACCTGATATTCCATTTGAATAAGCTTAGTTGTCCTTAGTTGAGATGACTCAATACGCATTATCGTGAGTAAAATTAAAGAACAAATTTTGTCAAGGATGGAAACACACCTCCAAGGGCTTCTTTATTTCAACAGTTACAAATATTACTTAAGACATCATTTTCATAAAAAGTTCTCAATCTAATCCAGTGCAGCAGCTCCTGAGATGATCTCAATCAATTCCCTTGTAATCACAGCTTGGCGAGTTTGATTGTATGTCAGAGTCAACTTGTCAATCATTTCACCTTTAAGTTCAGATCTTGCACCAAGATCTCATTAGTAACTCTCCTTACTGTCTACCATACAGTTCTTGTGATGTTAGTTTTGAGAATTTGGTATTGGATCAACTACTAATCCTCTAACTGATATATTTCTTTATTTTTGTCACTTATCTGCTTGATATTAATTGCATTGATAACGCAAGGAGAAATTCTTTCTTGGTCACTTATGGGAGTTAAAGGGTTAAGAGAGATGGAAAGAGTAAACTTTAATGAGGGTAAAATTCTTTTGTACACCATTTTGGGGTTGAAACACTCATTCTCTGACCAAATCACATGAACAAGGGTTGATAATGTAGGGAGAAATTAGATGCTAGTCAGCTCTTAGTGGTTTAAGGGTTAAATCATGATTGGGTTAAGTACAGCATCTGACCAGGTGAGAGATTAGTGCAAGTTTGCTGGACCACTCATAGAGCAAAGTGAAGTTATACCAATGTAATGGATACTAAGTTGAAAATTTCCTTATCTTGCAGGAAACCTTCAGTTACCTTCAGGTCTCCAGTCTCTCAAAAATGGAGTCACCAGATTGGATCAGTTGGAGACCCTGTTTCCAACCTACTGAAGCACTTCCTTCACCAAGATATGCCATGGCATGAAGGTTGATGGGGTAACCAGGTTCTTGCAATGGGTGTCAATGGCAATGAACAAGATGATTGCAGTTCCCATGATTCCAGAATCAGATCTGGTGAAGGAGGATCAAGATATGAAAACATGTGTGGAATTACAGAGCTTTGTGGAGTGCAGACAACAGAGACAAAAATATCAAGGAATTTGGATACATCTTCATTCAATAAAGACACTGAACCACTCTACTCAAGGAAAACACTGCATGCGACATAAAGCAATGATTATGCTTTAATTTCAGTATTGGGGATTTTAAAATGTGAGTTTTTGCTTTAGCTATTAAATGAAAGGAAAATAAAAGTGTTTTAGTGAATCAAAATCATGTTTCTCTTTGTAATGTAGTCATTCAAAGGAAATCTGTTTTTCTCAGGAGATTTGTCACTTTTACTATCAAAAGTGGCCATCAAGTTACTCCTCCTTTTACACTTTGTCAACAGATTGTCTGGTAGATGACAATTTTGAATAACATCAAGTGTTTAACCATTTAACTCCCATGAGTGACCAAGACAGAATTTCTCCTTACGATATCAAGTAGACAAGTGATGAGAGTGAAGAAAAATATCAATTAGGGGATTATAACTTGATCTAATACCATATTCTCCAAACTAACATAACAAGAACTGTATGGCAGACAGTAAAGAGAATCACTAATGAGATCTTGGGTGTTAAAGGGTTAAGTTAGGGCCAGACATGAACACTTAATTTACAGGAAATAAATAGCAGACCTTGACAATAAGCAACCAGTTATCATTTTATCATCAAGGGAGGGGGGTTGGTGGTTATTTTGGGGGATCACATGGTTTTCAGGTGAATGGTTAGGGGTTTTGTCAGTCACAAACAGACTATAAAAAGGCATTGTAGAAAATAGAGTGTTTTTTTTTCACATTCACCCCTATTCCTCTCTAAACCATTTAACTCCCATGAGTGACCAAGACCAGAATTTCTCCTTACAATGTCAATACAATATCAACCAGACAAGTGATGAGAATAAAGAAAAATATCAATTTGGGGATAATTAATTGATCCAATACTCAATTGTCTGAACTAACATTATAACAGTTATATGGTTGACAGTAGGGAGAATTACAAATTTGGTGTAGGAGTTTAAGGGAGAAGAACCTTGCCACACAGGCTACATTTACCTGAGTGGGGTTAATCATTCAAATTCAGTTGGTAGAGTGTAGGAAAAATGCATGTAACCGGATATTCCATTTGATTAAGCTTAGTTGTCATGCAGCTATACAAGGAACTTGTTGTTCTGCTCCCATTGACACCTGAACTGCCCGTAACCCCCCTTGTCATGGGGTGGACTTGTGTGAGAGATGCTTTTCCCCCCCCTACCTACCCCACTAAGCATAGTTTTGTCCCTAAAGTTCCTCTGTTGTTGTAGGATCTATAATGACTCTAGGGGGGTACTAGAAAGGCATCATTTTATGTGTTCAAAAGAAATGATCAAATGTGAAGTCAAAGGAAACTGTGAATAAATCAGGTACATTACGTTTGAATGAGTTTTGTAAAATAAGTAAAATCCTGTATGTAAAATTTGTATGAACGTGCTTCAAGTTGTGAATAAGTAACTTGCTCCATTCTTGTATAACATGTGTATTAGCCCATGTACCCTGGTGTGAAATGTTGGCTAAATACCTTGACCAATAATGGTCTGTACTACTTTTGATGAATCTTTCTGGATTGTTTATTGAACACCAGTGCTACGAACATTCATGTGATAGTTAGGTTCACCATACAACTGATGGGATACAACTCTAAAGGAGCAATCGCCTGCACCACCAACATCTGATATTCTCAGGCCATGTTGAACTAATCTAGATTGTGAAATTAATTAAGATTGTTTGGATTATTTCCCTGAGTAACAGGTCCCGAGCTTAACTCCATATCACCTGAAATAAGTAACTTTGTCCTTGAGACAAAATACTTGTGATTTCGTTTCTCACACTTTATTGAATAATATGTACTAATTCATCATGAAAAATAACTGATACTTAACGTCTTTTTATTCTTTGCAGTTCTTGTTTTGAAAACATAAACATAATCAACAGCAAAATACAACCTTAAACTTTTTGCACGAGTGATTCCAACTGGTTTCCTTTTACCCATTCTGGTTTTATTGATAATTACGGTAATCAAACCATAAAATCGTTTTCAACGGTGGCTAATGTGGTGCACTTTGCACAATACGAGACCTTCATACCTCTTATTTGCTTTACTCTTGTTAAATAAGTTCAGGATTTTCTTCCACGGTAATATCGATGGTTCACCATCACGAAGGACGCCTTTGCTAATACGATTGGACTTTGACCTACTTCTTCGTTCCTGTATATTTCTGTTACCATCAGATCAGTCTTCTGACTGCGTTTCGTTCTGCTTGGCCACAAGAGTGTTTTGGTTGGATATTATGGACTGATCAGTTGTGCCACTCGTGTTTCTAATGGCTTTGTTTAACCCTATGGCTGATTTATACCTTAGCTGATACGAGTGCTCATAGGTTCCCTCGTGAGTTCGATCAAAGTTTCGCTCGTAAGATTCACTCGTAAAAGGTTCACCATTTATGAACCCAATGTGAGCTTGGAGGATCGACAAGCAGTCAAGGACTCTTCGCATTCATCGTCTACACAGCTTACTACCGTGTGCTTACTGCGACGAGTATTAGTCGAAACTTTCTCGAAGGAAAGTCGAATTCTATTTCAACGTCGCGGCAGTTACTTCGGAAAGTCGACAGACGCGTTCCAGTCTTATCTCCGAAAGTCAATAGCAATCGGTCTGCCGTTCACATAGCGACTTGTTTCCATCTGAGTCGAGGGATAAATTTGCATATTCTGGCCCCTAACAACAGTACTTTTTACGCTTCGCGTATCCACGACTAAAAATAAAGTGGGTCAATGAATCAAAATTACGCATCTCTTTGTTTTGTAGTTAATCAAATGAAAATCTGTCTTTCTTGGGAGATTTATCACTTGTACTCTCACAAGTGGCGGTCGTCAACGAAGCGTTGCATTGAATTTGTTGATAGGTTCGTGAGCGAAGTACGGAAATATAATAGGTGATTTGGGTAGATTGATTGTGAGAACGGAGTTACTCGTGAGTAGGAGAGTGAAAATGGTGTACATCAAACCAGTGTTATTGTTTGTCGCGAGATCATTTACGACATGGACGTTAACTCTCTTCTCCTTTAACATTGCATCAACAGATTGTCTGGTAGATGACAATTTTGAATAACTTCAAGTGTTAAAGTGAAGGCCAGACACGAAAGCTAAAATCACAGGAAATGAATGGCAGACCGTGACAAAAGCGACCACTTATCATTTTATTGCCAGCGGAGCGGGGGGCCTTGGAATTTTTTGAGGGATCACATGGTTTTCAGGAGAACGGTGAGGGGCTTTGTCAGTCACAAACAGACCTTAAGAGGCACCGTAGAAAATCGAGTGTTTCATGAGACCAAGCGATAATTGGAGAGGCTGTTGAAACCTAACAATACTAGATTACAAGTATCTCTTAATTTGTTGCAAAATAGATTATTGTAAAACGAACGCAATATCAATGGCGCGACAAACCAGACCATTATCCTTGCGAAACTTCATCACGTCAGTTTCACTGTCTTATTGCCTGTTGCTTTTCATGAGACCAAACGATAACTGGAGAGCCTTTTGAAACCTCTGGCCAAAAGCCACTCAGTCATTTGTCTCATGCAAGGCATCACCCGCCTTCAAGTCAGCTTCGCGGATGAAAATACAGGGGGCTTAACATGCGTGTAGCCAAGCCACTAACCTATCCAAGAGTGGGTTGGAAGTGGCTCTGTGTAGAAAGCTAGCTTTAAGACTGGTGGGGGGCTGGGTTGTTGGACCTCCCGAGTAAATGCCATTTTTCTCTGAGGCTGGAAGGCGCTTGTCTTATTCATCTTTTCTGACAACCTGCATTCCAGGATTGGTAGTATGGCTTGTACCCAGTCACATCAGTCACTGCGCTAACACTCCATGGATGGAGAGTGGCTGAGTTTCAAAAGCATGCCTTTGGGGGAGAGGGCTCTATTGACATTGCAAACACCTGATGGCTAGGGTTTCGCTTGAAGATGGGCACGCGTCTTTTAACAACGATAAAGATTTTTATTGAGGAGAGGGGGAGGGATGGGGTCACGGGAATATAAAATTTGTTAGTGCAGTATCCACATCATCGCTACCATTGTCAGGGAAGCACGAATTTTCCAAAATTATCGATAGCCTTGAGACACATCGACTTTTCCGACTCCAAAGAAAAATTGAACAAGAAATGAATTAAGAAAATTCTGGTAGTTCAGAGGCAGAGACATAATGCATAAACAAACTGAAATATTTAATCGCCTCTTTGTCAACTTCATTTCGAGACTTTCTCGACGATATTCGCCTAGTCTCAGTGAGTAGAATAGAATTTTAGAAATCATTGCGAATTATCCCAAAATAAAAGAAGACACAAGGTGATTAAAAGTTTAGGAAGTCCTCGGGATTAACAAGACGCAGTACTTTATAATACTTATTGCCTTCTCATTTTTTTATTTTTGCCACAAAAACAGCATTTATTACGGGATGACATATTTACCTTTTCTGACTGTCTGATTGGTTATCTCTGCTCCATACTAAATGTGTTTTCCCAGGTGAATTCCCACGGAAATGAGTTAATCAGTATTTCCTAGCACTTCAATTTAATTATCTCCTGGAGATTTGTCATGAAAATTTGAATGTAAATTTACAGTCGAGTGTGAGCTTCGCCTTGAACAGGGGTGTTAAAACGAATTGCTTAAGGAAGAGCTCTCTATGTTGGTTACTTCACATGTTTTAAGGTAAATTTTAGTTGAGAAAGAATATCTGTAATAATGAGTAAATCTTACAATAGAGGTTTTATTACACAGACGCGGCATGTTGAAAGGTCTTACCTGGGTTAACTGCGAACCGTGAAACAGCGAAAAATAAAAAAAAGAAAAACAGTAAACGTTAAGAGGAAAATTCGACTGGATTTCTCTCAGCAAATCATGACGTAGAGGTATAAATTCTTTAAATCAAATGTAGAAGTTAAAATTTTTAAAGGAATAGCAAACATTTATGCGATTCATGTCGCACGCTAATTGACCTTAAAAATTTCTTCAAAATTTGTTTTAAAAAATATAAGGGAAAGAATAACAAAGAATTGTAGAAGTTAAAATTTTTAAAGGAATAGCAAACATTTATGCGATTCATGTCGCACGCTAATTGACCTTAAAAATTTCTTCAAAATTGTTTTAAAAAATATAAGGGAAAGAATAACAAAGAATTG